AAAAAAAAAAGCTAAATATGGTTAGACCAGAGAAAACTAAGTTAAAATAGACAAACAAGGATGATGTGGTCCAGTATCATGAGACAAATGTTTTACAAACATACCTCGAGATCTCATCTCATACATAAACAACAATTTAAACTGACAAAGTTTGGCCAGAGACATTTTTCCTAGTGCTCAAACGAGAGCAAGCCTGGTATAAATAGATTGAGCTGGAGACTAACGACACTCACTCTAGCAACATATAACTTGAATTTGGCATCTAAATATATACTTTTGTTAAGTACTAGTTAAATCATGATAAATGACTGAAAAGTAATTATTCATCAGTTCAACAAAACATTCAAATTAAAACATCCAAAATCAAGGTAGCTAAGCAAAAAAGAATTTTTTTTTGCTTTGAAGCGTGAAACTCAAACAAAATGCCCCCTTCAGTCAATTGAAGCACACATAAAATATTATACTACTTAAAAAGGTGTCATAAAAATCAAAATTTGAGATTTTTTATAACATTTTAAGTTAAATACCAACAAACAAAAGCATCAAAAAAGGCAATAGAACAAGCATGGGCGTGGTGATGAGCAACACTAGATATTAAACCAACATTGAATAATTCTTAAACCAAGAGGAGCACAAAAATAATTAAATCAGCCTAAACTAGCCCAAATTGAGCTAGGCTTAGCTCTCCCACCACCATACCCCCCTAAAGGTCTCAGCAGCCCATCTCTGCATCCTAAAATAATCATCTGCAGCCATTTATAGCCACCAATCCTATCATAGAGCTTCTCACCACCATCAGTATGTTTCTTTGTGTTTTTAATTATGTCAACCAAAGTATAAGCTAAATACTAAAAAAAAAGTCTTTTCAAGTGAGAAACAAAGTCAATCACAAGTTCGTAATCCTCAACCTAGGCCTAGTTCTGCAATTAATCGCCACACCCGCCCCCAAGGTTCCCGGGTCAACTTAGTTGCACTAATCTCACACTCTAAATCCAATTAAATCGCTTTTCATGTCATTAAGATGAAAGAAACAAAATGGATGGGCGTGTTTAAATGGATAAGAAGGCAGCATATTTTCTCGACAAGAAACATGGACGTCAAGATAGGTCTAGTGACAGAGCAGTGGAAAAACTCACAGAAAAAACAACAACATTAGAGTCCGGGAGAGGTGCGGCAGAGGGTACCCTGTGAGATATCTCGACAGCTCATGGAACTGAAGCTCAGCCTTGACGTCAGCCTCGCTGCCGCCACCGCGCTGTGAAGCGGATACATGGATCCAGCGCAGGACCCCAACACCACTGGAGGCCTGCGAAAAGGGATTCAAAACCGTTATAAACTTCTCGAAGAAAATAGGTGAATGAATGACGTAAAGCCAAGTATCTGAACAAAGTACCGAGAGATGGCACGGAATCGGTGCATGGGAGAATGAGAGGCGGCTCCGGCGTCTGTCTCTGTGGCAGTCCGGGCGGATCCAGCGGTGAAGGATTTCGGAAGCCGACCGGGGATGTTTGCTTTGGAGACGCGTGATCGAAGAGAAGAAAGGGAGCTGAGATTCAGAGATCTAAGGCAAGTGGAAGCCATTGAGAGAGCTTGGATCGAGGAGGAAGATGAGAGTAGTTTAGGGTATGAGAGAGTAATTGAGCGGACGAAGAACAAAATATCAATGTTTTTGCTAGGGTTTAGGGTTTAGTTTTGCTTAGTGATTTTTATACAACATCTATATTTTAATATTTATTTATTTAACAATTATAATTCTACAAGCTAAGGATATTATATTGCTCGAGTCACATTAAAAATTATTGCCTAATTAAAATTAAAAAAATAAAAGTTAAAGATCAATATTTTGAAGATTAGAGACAACAATACAATATTCTTTTTTTTAATGAATTATGCACTATTTAACATTTGAATATTACCTCAACTTTATAAAGATACAAATGAGTATCCGTAATACTCTACTTAATGAAACGAGGTTGGTTTCATCAGTATTAAGTAACAAAGCACTGGCTAGGGAGATGAGGAAATTCGATACGATTTGTTATAAAATGAGAAAATTATCTAACACCTAAAGTATTAGTTTTACACACAACATTTTACTTATGAATGAAAAGTTGAATTTGAATATTAAAAGATGATAATGAGTGTTGCTTCATATGATGTTTGTAATTATGAAAATTTTTATATAAGATAGGTAAATATAAAAGATGTTCACGTGGCTCTCAAATGGATTCTTTTATAGGGAACCAAAAAGAGATGTTCCCCAATCCAACAAATAAAGTCCTTTCTACTTAAATGCATAATGCTATAAATAGAATTGAAGTAATCAATATTCACTAAAAAATGAATAGATAGTAAAGTTCATATGCTATTAACCAACATTAGCTATAGAGATTGATTTAGGCTTGTTAAAAATAAAGAAGTAACCAATGCCTAAAATCTTTAATAAGTTTTTTCCATTACATCAACTAATAAGATGTTAGAAAAAAGTAGAGCAAACTCTAATATAGAAGCTAAATATTTGTTTTAACAAAATAACAATATTCTTGGAGATCTTTTCACAAGCTAAAAATGTTAGAAGTGGCTAAGCCTAAATAAAACCATAAACATTAGCAGACCTTTGTACCTTCACTTCACTCAATAAATTGAGAGTTGGGTTATAGTTAAGACACACTCAACATTTGTCTAAGGCAAGTTGTTTGTACCATGATCTAAGACGATTTTTTTTTAGTAACCTAGAGCATTGAAGAAATTGAGTGTGCGAGATTATCTTCTTAACAAAACAGTTAGGAATTATAACAGACCTAATCAAATAAGATAAGTAGTTATTGAAATATGAAACCAATAA